ATCTATAATCGATACGCGCGTCAAAGGCAATAACGCATTATAGCACTTTGCCAGCTCATTCTGCATTTACTGCCAATTAAATCGGTGTAATTAAATGTACAACATTCCCTAAAATGAAATATGCAGTGTTCTAATCGATGCTCTGGATTAACTCACAGGTGTAATCGATTAGATAGATTAGATTAGATAGCAGCGTGTAAAATCAGTCACAATTACGAGTTATAATATACCGAACTGCGCTGAACTCATTGATGCGGTTTGACGGATAATATAAATTAGCGTTTAAATAGAATAAAAATTATTTCGAATGTGTGTCGCGCTAATATAAATTGCCGAGTTCCACTTTTGCGAGATCGATACGAATGTGGTTGCGATCACACACGAATTCCTATACGAACTTTCGATCGTCGGTGTTGATTTTATTTTTACCTTCTTCCGTTCATGAGTATTGTAAATTTAATCATCTCCGGGACGGACAGTCGCTTATAAATTTGGCATATTACGTTATTAAGAAGCGAACATGCATCTTTCACTGGCGTTTGTAATATAAATTCTTTTTTTCGTAGCGGCGAATCTCGTAATCGCGATAGGTTTAAAAATATAATAGGCTGCAGGCACTCTTGTGTGAATAAAAGCGGCTATCGTGAAAGACATCGTTGGATGTCTTTAAAAATAATCGGAAAAGAGTCTGCTATTTTTAAGATAGACTTTCCGAAAGTGTTCACACTATTTGCATACCTAATGGAAATAACGCGGATCCCTGTCAAAGTGAAAGTGTCAATTGCGACGTGAGAAAGGACGCAGTCGATGAACTGAAACTATTTTTGCGCGTTTAGCGAGGAGAAAAATGCAGGATGCGCGATACTTATTCGGGAAAAGGTGCCACTTTCGGGGCGGTGAGCGTGGAAGACAATGGAGCTCTCTAAGAATACGTTTCGCGGGTGAAACTGTTACAAAGAATAGGTCAGATTGTCTGAAAATCTGCTCCGTGCGATGGAAACCTCCTCCTGCGCTGGGAAAGATTTCCATCGCGGTAACACTTAGCGATCGTTACGCTGATAATTTCTCTCAAAGTAATAAGCGAGCTTCGTGCCGCGTAACAATATTTAGAAAACGCGGGATCGGAATTTTGGCGCACAAGGTCGAAATTGCTCTTGAATAATGTATTATTGTATTACACTCGGTTGAAAGTAATACTTGTTATCATCTCGATTTACATTTGGTATATTCGGTATACTTTTTTTGCACACATTTGGTTGAATAATCAAAATCCGATTTAATAATTAATATTACATTCTATTTGATAATTTTTCAAGCACTAACAGTTTTATATGCGACAAACTTCTCTCTGACAGTTCAATTTTACTTCATATTTTTATTTCCGCTGTCACACATGGTTGCAGCGATGGTTGCGAAAGTTGTGTAGCGAGCAGGAGTAAATCTACGTTTAATAAATTTTATTAGCCGTGTTAAAACTACGCCGTAAAAGCTAACGCTGCAGGATTATTCAATTTGAAAACGGGATGTCCGCGTATGTCATGTCGCATAAATCACATTGATAAAGAAATTTATACCGCCAGATAATTTTTCAATCGTATAAATGTCACGAAAATAGATACGTTTTATATCGCAGACATTTGCAAGATTTATTTTATATTTATAACAATATATATTTTTATTTTTGATCGCAGCCACTGTTATTTAGAATTCTGATTAATTATTTTAAAAATACCAAAATACGTTCCAAAAAAGAAATTTCCACAATATTGGTAAAACGCATGGAATTTTAATTATACTTTTCTTCTTATTTTGGCTAAATATTTTCGGAAAGTTCGCGGAACAACGAGCGCCTTATAAAAATTTCAACGCGTGTGTTTGCTGTCTTCTCTCGTCCTCAAACGATCCAAGTTTTAATACGCTTCTAAGTTGATTTTAAGTTGTGTGCCAGATTCGCCCACTCAATGGGGCTGAGATTCCCACGTGCAATATACACTTTTATGTAAGATTAATTGAGCAGAAAGGCGATATCGCGTTGTGTTCTACAATCGGGCTCGCGTTCCGAAATACGGTGAAACTTCACCGGAGGAAATTAGATTGTGATCGGAAGCACACGCGGATGTGTATATGTGTGAAAGTTTATAGCGTAAATATAATATCGAAGGCGGATCAGGCATCGCGGCAGCTGTCGTCGCCGTCTGTGAATTTGCCTAGAAAAATTGACATTTCGCGTGATCTTTTTTTTTTCATTTTCTTTGCTCGGTCGCTTACTATTGCGCGGTTATTTTCGGCTCGACTGCGCTTTTAATCGCAATCTATTTTTGCCCGTAAAGAGCGCTCTAAATAAATTATGCTTAGAATTATGTTATATGAGGGGGAACCGTTTTCTCAACTTTTATATGTTTTTTCTTCGCGAGTTCAGTCACGCGTCCGTTAAACACTTTCGCCTTCTCTTTGCGAATTAAAGAGGAATGGGAAACTTTTGAGGAAAATTAATGATACATGCCTTTTTATATGCAGAGTATATATCTCGTCTCGATACCAGCTTTCTAGCTCGCGATCTCGTAGGGTGATATTTTCGCTATGCTTTACAATTTATATGTATTATAAGCGTTGTGAATGGTCGCCACGCGCGTCATGTATAACGTGGTACGCCTGTTCTTTATCGCTTTGGCGATGCGCACCGACGGAAAAACGTTGCGATAAAACTTCTCGCGCAGCTGCAGTGGACGGCGACGGCCGTCATCCAGTGAAAAAGCATAAACGCGGAAACCGAAAAATTGTGCGAACGTGACGCTCCACGTTGAGATTTTTAGCGATCGAGCCGAGAACAGCGTGCGCTACGTGCGAAGAATGACAATTTTAGGTAAAAGTTCGGTGAAGTGTGAACTCAATTTTACACGATTAATAAACGATTAGGAGAAGTAAGTAATTTCGTCAGCCGTTGAAATTAACCCATTTACAGATCGGCACGGATAGCCTTATTAACGATAGCAGAAAAACGACGGCGAAGATCCGAGTAATCAGTTCATGGCCATTAGCTTCGCGGACTCCTGCGCTAATGCGCAAGAGAGTGCTCGATAATTCGCGTTCGCCAGGTGCCTCTGGAAACTCGGCGGCAAATCGCGATTCACTTCAAAGTTCTCGTTAAACTTTTTGTCTCCTCGAGCATTAATCCAATTGACGACGCACTCCTCCCTTTGATGCACTTTGTAACTGAAAATCTCCCCGCCGGCTAATAATCTATTGTAGAAAATGCGATTATGACGTATCTGCTGCGCGAACACGTTTGCTTCTCGTGTTAAAAATTCATTGTGTTAATGAGAATTTTGCTAAACGCACGCCGATAGAAAATATTTCTGAAGAGATTTCGTAATAATTCCGGTTAAACCTCTGATTTAATTCAAGCGTTCTCGCGTGTTGAATACAAGTCGTACTAACCTTCAGGACAAACATGGAAAGTGAATCAAGTGCGAAGAAACGAGTTTCCACTCGACGCTGCGATGTTGGTTTTTATCGCGGCCTCCTCAGAGATCATGCGACGATTAAGGCGCAAATACGCATTTTACGTCATGCTCGAACGATTGTATCTTGTCGCGTGCTTCTACTTTTTACCACGTATTTTATATCAGATCTGAAAACCGTAAACAATGAAACGTGTACTTGCAGAGCGGAATTTTTGCACGTCAAGTCTCGTTAATTTGAAAAAATTTGATCGAGCGCTAAAGACATGTAATGCTATCTGCATTTCGCGGACATAACGCAAAGTCAAGGTTCGCGCAAATTGTTGCGAAAAGGTGCAAAGGTTGCAATTTAGCGCGCTGATTGCCACGGCTACGTGACTCGATCCCGTAATTCGCGATGGCATCACAGACAATAAATTGCGATCTTTCAGCGACGTGTGAAGTAAACGGGATAGAGATCTGTGGATGTGAAAAATTGTGCCCACGATAGATTGCAGTCTCGGTGTAAAGCGCATACGATAGAAAGATTAGGAGTTTCTCAAGTTGTAAATTTACCATTAAATGCGTTGTTTGCTGCGGAGAGCTTCATGCACGACGGCTATTGAACTCGAGCTACAAGCTGTCTCGCGCGAATCGCGAAAAGACCGATTTTTTTGCGAGCTTTCACAGAGAGTATGTAAAGCAGCACGCAATACAAGCAAATTCATTAAATCAATTATCTCTTTGCTCTGAAAACTAAGTGGAACGAAATGTGCATATGCGGATGCTTTTTGCACGAGTTTGCTGTCCGGTGTCCTTGTGGTTTTTTGCATTAGTTTGCGTCTAGGAAGCTGCTTTTTAATATACAGCCGAGCTTTTTTATGACATTAAACATTTCAGTCCTTGTTTATTGAAATAAACTCATAAATTTCGACAAATATGCATTGTCATTGATTGTTAATTTTTTATTACAGCTAAATTAGATCTCAGAAATGAAAATAATTTGTAATTTAATATTTTAATTAATGTAATTTACAAGAAAAATAATTTAGGAACAATTTGAATCATCTTAAACCTCACAATCAAAAATTAATTTGACATTTTCTCTCTATATATAATTACACTATTTGCGAAAATATACTTTGCAAAAAATTCATTGAGAAGAAAAATTCGTTTAAGTCTGATCCGATTAAAGCTCGAGAAGAAAAAAGTGGGATTAACAAGGATTCCAAAGTGAATTGTGATTTGCCACCGAGTCTCGAGAGATAAACGCAAATTATCGAATGCTTTTACTAATCTCTTAAAATAATTATATATACATGCAAATTATCTCTATTTGAAAAATGAAGTTTCGAGGTGCGAGCCCGCCTTTATCTTCAGCTTGTCTTGAAGGCATTTACACGCGATCAATCAGTGCTAATGCACTGAGGAGTTAACGGAAGGATACGCGTTCGTAATTGGATATTTTGCATCCGTTCGGTCTAAAAACGAAGTAGGGCGAGACTTAGCATGCGGAAGTGGAGTTACGCAACGCCCGATATGCAGCGTTTTTTTCTTCTCTTTTTTTTTTTTACTGCTTGCACTCTGCGCAATTTCATACTTTGCGGCGTAACCGGGATCGCATTCACGAAGCGTGCTTACGCGCGCTACGTTCTAATTGTGTTGTACGAAACAAATTAATATCGGAGTGCATCAGCGCGATCCGCGCAGTATTTGTTTCTTATCGTTTTGATCTGGAAGCGAAATGGAACGCGTCGTGATGCCGCTGCTCGCGCCTCTAAGCAGGTTAAATTGAATTCTCGTTTAATTTGCGCGGATTTATAGAAGCGCGAGTGTAACAGAACATATCTTATTTGCGAAAATCAGCGGTTTGTAACAGCGTCATCGTGCTGTGCACGATTATCGTCCATCCGTGAACAAAACCGTAATTTTGTACAACATCAGCGCCAGGAATTGTTATTATTATAAATTTATTGTTCTAAATTATTATCATTATCATCCGCATGTTAAAATAATTTCAATACAATAATCAATCTGGAACATGATGGTTGTTAAGTAAATGTTAAACGGTGATGAAAAGTAACTTTCAATTTTGGAAATAAAAATTTTGATTATATTTTTTATTTTTGCGGTACGTGTCCGGAATCGTCTAAAATTTCCAGCTACGTTTTTGCGTATTTCCGATGCGCGAGGTCGCGAGACACGCGCGTGTGCGTGCGTTTCCGGTCCGTGAATGAAGTCATAGCGATGTGAAGGGTGCGTTGTCAACGAGATCGACCTTTTGTCGCTCGGGACAGAGGAGCGGCCCAGCTGTCACGCCTTTTGTTCCGGCGCCTTTATTAAGTCTGAATTACCGGTGGGAAAATTACGGCGGCCTTCCTCTGTTCTCCGCTCGCTTCCACCTTGCTGATTTCGGCTCGCCACCGAGGCGCGCAAAGGTGCGACTGGTTACAATCGGGGAAGCATGACCGGGCTGGACTAACTGTATCTACACGAGAGTAACGTCTCGTATGCTTTTCAATTCCGTTTTGTCCGAGGAGGCTTGTTTGCACAACTTCCGCACAACAGGATTTTCAGTTCGGATCTGTAACGGAGATTTTTATCATTAGAATCTGTTCTAAATCTATCAACATTGTTATCCGTAGACGTCTTCCGTCTTCATTTCGAATGGAGTTACGATCAATACTTGGATTTTTTATTTCTAATTGAACGCACATGCTGCATCGTACAAATTGCTTCTCCGCTGGCAGTAAAATTGAAAAATTGCGACGGATCAATCTTCGGATAATACACCGCGGAATACGATTCGTGTCACGTCGCGAGTTGCAACTGGTTGCAGTCAACAGAGCATGACCGTCGAACTATATCCTGCTGCTCAACGTATCACATCTTCCCGTCACATTTTCCGCGCACAAGGCCTCGCAGAAGTGAATGCACTGCGGACGCTTTATTAATTTTAATTATCGCAGCTCATTAATTTCGACTTAAATACTATCTTAATTATAACTTTCTACACACGGTTGCTTGATGAGAATAAGATTCTCTTATTATTATACTATTTATAAAAATGTTTTGAAAACCGAAGTATCTTATAATGTAGTTTATTTTAATTATTGAATTAGTAAATTTAACGAAAAGAGAAATTATTTTAATATCACGTGTTACTTTTGACGAGGAATTACATTTTATTTAAAGTACGTGTCTCGCGCACTTCTATCGCCGCGGCTTGACCACTTCACGTTAGAACGCAGATACATTTCTGCGTTCGAGTTTATCAGAACGGGCCAGATGCGCCGCAGGCTTGCTTTTAACCACAGATGTTGGCCGTGCAAGCACTTAAGCATACGAGCATCTGCATTTAGTGCATTGCTTGGCCGACGGCAGTGATCCATCATAGTCTCAATCTTACCTCGTGTTATGCATGAAAATTACAATTTACACCATACTTGTGTACACTCGAAAATTTAACAGTGTATGATCATCAACGACGAAGTCGATTCCAAGCAAATATCGCTTCAATATAAATAGACTTGCAATTTTCTACATTATCTTTTCGGTGCGTGAAGTTGTTAAACAAAAACATGTTTTTTCCAAAATTGTAGCTGTAAAAATTATGATATTCTGAGCAAATAATAATATTAGAAATATCAATTATGCACATTCTTGTATAAAAATTTATATAAAAATATGATTACATGGTTTTGTTGACTTCTGCGTATTGCGATTTGTGAAGACACTTGTGTTTGATATAGAAATATGATACAAATCTTTAACGGTATTGGATCGAATTATGGATACATGACAAATAGCCGCAATGTATGAAGGCTATATGATTCTATTCGGTTATCTCGCAATCGCTTCTACCTGGAAACAAGAGTTACCGGTGTCGTTCTTAAAATTTCTCCCACCACAATGACTCACGGATCTCACGATTGAGCAAACAGGCTACAGATTAGTCACTGTTTTCTATCAATTCTTTCCTCTCTCGATGACGAGGCGATCGTTTATTCGTTCGAGCCTAAATACGTCGTTTATTTTAGTAGTTCAACAATAGTTTCACACAATCGATGTAATTGTGAAACGGAGATCGGTTGCTCTGACATCAATAGAAGTGTGCATTCGTATTTGCAGATACATCCAGATGACGCGATGACGCTACATTGGTGGATGCATTGGTTCTGGGTTACCGCGCAATTTCTTGGTAAGTCATGGCATTAGATTTTCTATTGAATGACTTCTCAAAATAGAAAGCCTGCTCCGCCTTATTAATGCAGATAATTGTCTTTTTAAAGCCGACAAAAAGGCTCGAACACCGTCTTGCGTTTGAATGAAATCACTTCAATTAGGTCAATTAAACACAGTTGAAGATTTAAATCGCAAAAAGCAGGCAAATCCAATTTTTTCCAGTAAATCTACGATTATATAATTAAATTATTCGCGAACATATAATTTTGACGCAATATTTTATCACCGAGATACTTCATCGTAAAAATTCGTACAGATATTTGCTGGGAAAAATTCGCACTTAGAAATTGCGTGGATAAGATGTCGCGTGCAGCTCTTCAATTATATTCTATGTAATTTAGGTTTCCGACAAGCAGGAAAAAGACGCACTTGGCAGCATGATGTATGATTCATCCTCATTCAATGACCGCACAATGATCACTTTGCTCTTCCAGTGATTCTTGGTAGTCCCTTGCCGTCTACCACATCGATCCCCGTCAGCCAGCCCCTGCCGTCCCCGGGAGCGACGTCCGCGACGTCGGTCGAGACCCAGGATATCTATCGTACGTCGAAATCGCCCAGGCCGGGTTTCCGCATCGCCAAGGCCATCGGTCCTCTGTATCCTCTGACGAATACGGCCGTGGCGGCTGACAGACAGCAACTCGTCACGACCATCGCCTCGCCACCGCTGGAACGTGGAAGTACGGTTGGTGCGAGCGTCCGCGAGGCCGTCGAGTTGAACAACCGCGATAATATTTCCAGCGTCGAGCCGCTGAGCACGGCGACGACGCCGCAGCGCGCCACGGAGAGCGTCGAGAGGATCAGAAGCTCGACCACGAAGAAGGACAGCAAGATCACGTGGATCCTGACGACGAACAAGTCGTCGGGCAGATCCAAGTACGATCAGGAGGAGAAGAACCAGTCGGCCAGCGCCGTCGGCAGGAACGTCACCTTCGAGGAGGAGGAGAAGGAGGTCGAGGATTTCACCGTGCTACCTCTTCAGGAAGAAATGTCCAAGACCGAGCTGATGAACAGGACGAGGTCCTCGTTCATAGCGTCTTTATCCGCAGCCGGTGCTGTTGGCAGCGCCGCGATCAGGACTTTCAATCGGTCCGACGACGAGGTCGAGATCGACGAAGAGGTCGCTCAGACGCAGCACTTTGCCACGGCGGCGTCTGTCCTCGAAGGTAAACTTGGAAAGAAAATCTATTCTGATAAGAACGGATGATAATAATCTCACGCGCTGTTTCGTAAAAGTGTCTCGCTAGAAATGCGAGATTTAATTTGTATCTTAATTAATATCGACTCTCGCGGTATTGACTTTTCTTTCTCGCGCCTTTCGTTCTCTCTTTCTAATTAAAAACTTTGTTTAATATTTTGTTTAATAAAAGTAGAGATAACTTGGAGAAAGAATGTGGCGTGTTCCCGTCTTATTTCTAATTAGCACTCGGCGACAAAGGAGAAAAAAGCTCGGGCAATTTAAATTCGTCGTAATAATGGCATGAAACTAATGCGCAGTTGGCGTGAGCGAATCCACTCGCCTGAGCAGAGCGAGAAACACTTTCATCACGAAGAACTTCCAGAGCGATAGTATACACGGCAACAATCTAGCTTCCGATTATACTGATACCGGTAACAACAGCGACAACGCCGAGGAGCAAGGCTCCGCGGGAACGTCCGTCGCGGGCATAGCCGCTATTACGGGCAGCTGTTTGGCGACTGTCGCCCTACTCAGCACGATGGGTAGTCTCGGATTTATTATATACAGGTAACGAATCTGCGTGATGCGTTTTTAATTACGTCTGCGCTTCCGCTAATGCGCACGTTTGTTAACTCTTTTTCAGGCGCAGGTACTTGAATCCTCCGCAAACGCTGAACAGTGATAAATGCAGCAACCCCGATAGCTCCGGTTACATCGATGACTCCACTATTCGCGTTAGTATTATTTTCACGCGGATGATCGATCCTCGAATTTATCGAAATATGCATTTTACATGTAAATTTCAATGATTTTGAATTATTTCATTCGGAAAATTCTCGAAGAAATTCGATTTTACTTGGATTTGTGCGAGGAAATATCGCGAAAATATTTTCTTCTGTTCGCAGGATAATTCGGAAGAAATGTACAGTTTGGATAACGACTCGTTCCTAAATTCGCTAGAGGCGATGACAATACAGAACTACTGGACGGACAGTGTGAAGCATACGAAGCTATGACAAAAGAAGATAACCCACCCCGGAAGGAGGATCGAAACGTTCAATATTTCCGATGGCGAAGCGCACGAGCAAATCTCTTTGCTCGAGCAATAGTACTTACACGTCTGAGACAGGCGTATTCCAGCTGTCGCGCAAAAAGTTTCGTCCCACCGTGTATTCGAGGGCGACAAGTGTGCAATGTTCGTACGAGAATCGTTTAATCAGTCCTAATGGCCTGCGTCGAACGTAAGCTACCTTGAACGTTACCATTGTACGATCTAAAGAATTGTAGATCAAAATTGCGAGACGACGCGCGGCCTACGCTCGTCGTTGCTCGAACGTTGATTTCCGCCACTTCCATCGTTTCTATATATTTTTCTACGACGCATGCGGTTGGCAAAGTCGCACACATCGCTGGAAGTGGCGCAATTATTCTTGAATATTTCCATTAACGATTCTAGCGCAATAAAATAAAAAAAATCGATGTACTTTATTAATAAATTAATATTAACGCTATTCTAGAGAAGTAAGTACAAATATAAGACTATATTAGTCCATAGCTCGAGTTTCCGCTAATAATATTAAAAATAAAAATAACAAGAAGAAGAAGAATTTAATAAGAATATTGAAGTAATTCCTAGGAGTATTTATAGTACAATACCTCCAATGATGCGAATTGGAACTCGTATGTACAACATTGTACTTACTAATGTCTTTTTAACCTTGGATTGTACGTCCGTATTTCCTACAAGTTTCACTTTGAAAATTACATCACGATTAGCTCGGCCATATTGACAGTTGCTTAATCGAATAGCTGAAATATTTTCGGGGGATTGGATTTACGGAAGATCGGACCAAATCATACGTAGATCTAGCTTTATGCCTTTTTGACATATCCAGCAGGAAATATTAATTCATGTTTTCCATTAACGAACTTAGCTTGTATCTATGTACATATATATACCGTTGTAACGTTTCGTGTATAGATGTGCAAAATTGGCGTCGCAACGACGAGGCGCGATTAATTTTAAGTAGCTTTAGCGTTTATCCAGATATATTTCTATACATCCGAAGGGGGAAAAAGACAGAGAATTCCATTGTGATAGATCGTAGCGTTTAATAAGTGTAAAATGATCACCCGCTCGTTTATGGTTATTAACGGTTGTGAATAAACATGTTCGTGCGTTACTACCGTCCCTTCCTTTTATTCGTAGGCTTTATTTTCTACCGCGTTTGATTGTTTCGATTTGATTTCAACGATCAATGTTTTTATGCGTTTATATTTATGATGCTTATTTTATTGTAATACATGTAAATATCGTTTTTATTATTTGTTCAATTCTGAAAAAAAAATTGAAACTAATAAAATTCGATTCGCTTTGATTATTCTTTGTAACAATAATTTAGAAAATAATTGTACGAGTGTAATCAAGGCGCTATCATAGTATTATTGAAAACAAAAATAAAGATCTAAGATTGAAGAAGAATTTATCATATAAACGATTTATTTCGTTAGTACGTACATTTGCGCCAGCACAAAAAAGGATCGTATTATACAAAATGAGAATAATGCAGAGCTCCTTTTCTGAGACTAGACACACGCAGCGTAGGATTCTATCGCCAGTCTGTCCTTGCCCTCCTTCGCGATTGATTTTCATTTTTGCTCTTGCCGTTGTTTACGTCCACTCGCACCCTCCGTTGCACGGTGCGCCGCGCCGCGAGAGCAAGATACAAATGGCAATAAAATCCGACAGTCAACAATATTTTTCTCATTATCGCGATGTTCAATCTCTCCGAGAAACGTCTAGCCAATTTCTTGAGCAGCGGTGTAGCAGTCCATCGCAAAAAAGTCAATCATATGTTTTTTTTTTACTCATTGCGTTACTCCGAAATGTACATTTGCTGACTCAAACAAAATAATCATATTTTATTAAAAAATTACGAATCCTTTATAATTTTCTAATTGATTAAAAATTTTATTGATTAAAGACTACGAATTTGGAGTAAATTAAGATTAAAAATAAAGTTAACTGATGAATTTTGAATGAATCGAGAATAAAGTGAGCTATATAAATTTTGATGAACTGCGATTTTAGCGTACTGAAAGAAGAATTTGGTCACTGTTTCTCGTCATATATGAGAGAGTCTCATTCCAAATTACGCTTTTATTCACAGGGCAGTGTTAGAAGTATTCGAAATTACGCTAGTACGTAAAAGGCAGGCACTAAGTGACTCGTCAAGCTTCGTTGCTTGTGAGCGAAGAAACCGAAACTTGATATATACCGTCCGCTTTGTTTCCCCAACGCGGCGCCGACGGATTTCGAGGACAAAGCGACGCAACGCAACGTTTCTACTTAACTTCTTTTCGCAAGCTCGTCCGTGCCGTAAATCGGGTTTAAATCGGGGATAAGCTGTAAATGCAACGAGATGTGCTGATAGCATTCGGGGAAAAAATATACTTTCGAGAGAATCGAGGTGTTTGTGAACACCAAGCATAGAAATTATGCGCATACGTAAACGGAATCAAAAGTGCCTTCGTTATCACATTTGCAATTTATATCGGCGTTCTTATTACCAATATCTTGTGATCTCCGTTCGTTCGTTTCGCGACGCAACGATTGCAATCATTTATTCATACCGCGTGCAATTCAACACCTTCGAAAGAGCTTTAATATCAATTAAAGGTATTGAATTGAAGTTATTAAACTTGCGACTTAAGTACATGTCGAGAATAGATGATGGCAACGCAGGTTTTACGTCATTCTTGCGTAATCTCGCGAATTTTAAATCATTCAAGATAGAGAAAAGAAATGTACGAGCATAGTGACGCTTGTGCATTTTGATTTCGCGCAGAGTTCACGTGGAAAAAAAAAGTACGTATGTAAGTATCACTTTCAGAGAGCACAGAGATCACCTGTCAGAATGACAATCTAATGAATGACACTTGCGAACCGGCGACACATTTTACTACTCTCAAGCACTTGGAATATTACGCGCGAGGTCTCCTCGCACTTTACATTTATGAATGATCCTCGCGAGAGAGGATTTGCGCGCGTTCCCGCATCCGTGCGTGTGAACGCGCGCGCGACGGAAACACAGCTGCGCAAGTGCGTTACGCACTCTTATACAGCGAAATGCGTTCGTCATGAACGAATAAATCTTACTCTTTAAGGATAACTGCCCGCGATCTACAAAAATATTTCATTCTCTTCGTCACGGCGGCCTAAACGCGCGGTGCCGCGCGTCACAGTCGTCGTTGGCATCGTCGTAAGGATCGTGCGAGCGCGTCGCACGATCCGCGTGAGCCAAATTTGCTTTTCTCTATCGGACTTTCTACCACTCTCGCTTCAAGCATCAGTAAATAAGATAAACTCTCCTTATCTCGTATCGTAGCTATATCGAGTTTGGCTGGAAATTGAAATTCGCTATGTACATTCCTGCTTTTTTTCCCCATTACACATAATGTCTCCTAAGACATACGAGAGAATCGCTACGTTAAAGGAAACTTACAAATCGACAGCTATCTACTTATATAGATATGTGTACGCGCGCACGTGTGCACGCGCGACACGATGTTCTCTACACGTCAGGCTCGTTAGTAGCAGTTTTACGCCGAGGCGAATGGATGAGTTCGTTATAGAGAAGAAATTATCGACTACAACCGCGTCAGACGATTTCGCGTTAATCGCAATAATCCGTACTGATCTTCAGAAAATATCTAAACATACCTTTTATATGAAGAGACATTTAATGTCCTAGATAATTTCAGTTCTTGATGAGAGTTATTAACTTTTTGCCGATTCACGATGTCTCGCGACGTGACCATTGTTATTCAACATCAAATATCCGCAAACTCTTATTTCTTCTAAAAGTTTAGTTCATGTACTTCCATGCGGGAGAACATCTCGACACCTCCTTTCGTTCATAACAACTTTCGGTTCTCAAATCTGCAGTTTTAATAAACGCAAGTGTGAGAATCGCACACGGTGTTTTTCGATTTCTATAATAGAATCGTTACGATTCATCGACCGTCGCAAGCGATAAGTAGAGATCAAAGTCCGATGCGTTATCGGATTTCTTCAATACTGCTCGACTCGCTCCTCAGCCTTCTTCAGGAACGAATGGAAGATGTAGCCGAAGACGTTGACGCGAATCGATTCAATTTGCTGTCGATGATGATCTCATCGCCGTTTCTAATGTTGTATCGATAGAGTTGCTTGTTCGGATACAACATTTCCTCCGGTCCGTATTGCGCCTTCATTTCCTGAAATACGGATTTATTCTTCGCATTTCTTCAACACAGACTCAATATACTTTAAATTATTTTAATTTTTAAATAAACTAATATTATTTTTGATTGAAATTTCGTGTATATTATATAATATAACAAGGAATTATGTTCGGAATACCTTTTTCATATTTCAGGAAATTGCAAATGTTAGGTGGAAGCGGGAAAAGAGGATCATTTGGAGATTTATATCGCGACTTCGGGTTTCGTAAAGGATCGATCGAGGAAGCAAACATTCTGCAAACGATATTAAAATCGCTTAATTAATATTGGACAGAACAGCTCACCTGATCAACGTAGAAAAGCCTCATTCTATTGGCAGGTATTTTCACCATACTTTCCAACTTGGTTTTCAGTTCGAAAACTGTTCTATATACATCTACCGATCGTACCTGAAAGTATAAATTGCTTTTTAATTAATAAAAATACTCGTAGAAGTTTATGTAACCTCAATCTATCCTTCTAAAGTTCTAAAAAGTAAATTATTTTCTAAGTTCACGTGACACAAATTCACGAAAACTGTAGAATTAATGAAAATTAACGCTCCAATGAAACACCTGTGTAAAGTGGCAAGAAATTTGATACGAAATGAAATACCTCGACGAGATCTCCGTAAGTGAACGTGACCTTGACCCTTTTCTCCGGTGTCAAATCTACGTTCACCAAGGGGTCCAGCTTTCCGTGAATAGCCACGAGCTCGGAATACCTGAAAATCGACAAAGAGGGTCAAGTTGGGCATCTTTGGCGGAAGGGAGCGAGCGTGGCCATGAAACAAAAATAGTCTAATAGACTTGGGCGAAGTTGCAACCGCAACGAGAACTTGTGCGAAACGATTCTCGCGGAGAAACCGGAATCTACGCTAAAGGCAACTTGCATTAAAAACGTGCTCGCGACTGATTTGACGCGATTCTTGTTTAATGAGGGAAAAAACGATAAGTTTGAAATTGCAGCGCAGGGAACTCACCTTTCGGGCCGATCGGCTTCCGGTTTGTCCATGTAATAACGTATGAAGGCCCTTTCGGCGTCCTCGCGTTCCTGAGACGATATCACGCCGCCGCCATTCAAAGTCTCGACGTTTGGCAGTCGGGCTATTAGTAGCTGCCGCCTCTCGTGTTCCGTATATTCTCGAGGACTCTGGCAAATATTAAGTGCAAATTAAGTTATGCGAGAAAATGTTTTATCTTCAACGTCTAAATCTTCAAGGAATAAATGTATAATAGTTAACGATTAAAAATTTATTTCCGCGACCAAGACCAAAACTACAAATTAGACACGAATAAGACTGGAACAAAACTGATTTTTCATTGCGTTCAAGGTTACGCGCGTTTTAATTAGCAGTGCAATGTGTTAATTTGTCCACCGACAGATCTCGCGTGTAAAATAACGAAGCTCTCTGTTTTAAATACAAAAGACGAATTCTTCGCACATTCTATTAATATTAAATTCACATAGCGCCGCTCGGAAGAGCAGTGTAGGCCTGCATAACATATTGATTCTACGAACTTGTTTTCGAAACCTACATTAATTCGTAAATATATTTGAGCACGTGCCAAGATTCAATTGCCCATGCGGAAAGATCTCTTCGGGCTTACTGAGACACGTTGTTTCTTGTACGACCGTTATATTTGATGCAAGAGATTAAGCACGTGTCTTTAATCTATCATCAAATACACTTAGACTTAATACTTTGATGTATTTTGATGGCGAATACAACCCACGCTCTTTAAATGAATAATTTGCGCGCCGCGTATACAGTATCGTGTTTCATAATATTGAATTAATCAGAAAGTTCTCTTTGGATTTTTCGATAAAAGTGTGTTGCGAAAATCCGAAGTCAAATTTTCTGGCCAATTCGATATATATTCCGATTTCTTGAAAGATACATCAATATTTACTTAAAAATGTCGATTAATGACGTAATTTAGTGTTTTCTAATCGCTTCAGCGAGAGGAAACCACTCACCTCGAAAAGCGGGCATCCTTGGATCCTAAGCGACTTGAGCGCGGGAAATCTAGCGAGCCTTTCCACTTCGTCCCAAGTCGATAACAGCGTGCCGTTCACGTTCAAGAACCTTAGCATCCTGAAGGGATCGTGTGGCGACTTAATCGTCGTTCCGCTAGACTCCGATTCCGACTCGGATCTGTCGTAGTTGACCTTGTTCTCAAATATTCTATTTCCCGTCTCGTCTGTCGACGACGTGTGTTCATCCGCATCTAAATGATTCATGTTCTCGCTGTCCTGTTCGTGATCCTCCTCCTTCGCCCGACGGCTGTCCTCGCTCGGCAAGTTCCGATTTTCCTCCAGAGCGAACGATCTGATCGGGCACTCGGCGAGGACTAGGCTCTTAAGATTTGGAAACAGATACCTAAAAGCGTACAATTTGTTTAATGACAGAATTGTTATATTTTAACAGCATTTTACAGCAAAAACAAAAATGTACTATAATTACGATCTTTTTACGAGCGCTGCATTAACATATTTTTATTTTCTATGTATTATTTTTTAGTCATTAGCATAACATTAATAAAAAAAAAAGCTTTGCATGAGACTTACCCTAACTTTGAGATCTCGTTCCAGATTTCCACCGGATTACCAGTGAAGTGCAGCTTCTTCAGCGCTGGGTTCACGTTCTCCGGTTTCTGATAATCCAGATCCACCGTCTTGTACTCATTCAAAGACAAATGGAGCTCCTCCAGATTGTGCAAAAGCCGCACCAATCCCTGCACCGTCGACCAGGACACTCTGGTGCCGTTCAGCACAAGATTCCTCAGGAGATCATAGTTGCCGTGCTTGATCTCGAGCACCTCCGCGAGGCAGTTGAAGCTCAGATTCACGAATTTGATCTTGGGCATGTGCTGCAGAATGCCGAAGACCTCTGTCCATTGCGACAGCTTGTTTTGCGCGAGATCCAGCTCCTCCACGTTTTTGCATTTGCTACGGAGCTTCTCGGCGTCATTGCCCGCCGACTCGATGTCGCAATCTTGCAGCACCAACAGCGCCGGCACCGTGTGTCGCGGGGATTTCTTGGGGATGAAAATACTCACCGACAGGGCGGCCTTGGGCGAGCCGGACTCTGCCTCATCGTCCGTCAACGAGCAGTCCGTCGTCGAGCTGCCGTACTTTAGCTCCAGCGCTTCCAGCAACGACGGCATTTTTACAGCATTCTGCAAATTTGCGGAAAGCGTACTTGTAGATTGTACAATTCGAAAATCTATGAATCTATAAGACGCATGCAAATTTTAGAATTATAAAATTCTTTGTGTTTTTAACGAAGCAGAACTCAATTGTCTGAAAATAAGTTCTATTTTTTAGGATATGTATTTAAGGATTAAAAGCCAAAAAGCATATATACCGTCGACCAACGACACAAAGCATCGCCGCTAACAGTGAGAATAGAAAAGGAAAGAAAAGAGAAAAGGAAAAACCTTCGAGCCGGTCATCCTCGAGACGCGTAGAATCTGGTCTCACCATATCCGTTAAGGTCGCGCATTGTCTTTTTGCGCCGCGGTTGAAAACCGGTACTGGTTCTCTAGTAGTCGACAAAACGACTCTTCGTGCTCGCGCTCAGCTCGCCCACGCGATTCTGTTCACATATACATGAACAGAACTCGGGACGTCCTGAACTTGTCTTTCGGTGAACGTACGTTGAGACTGAGAAAAATCATCCCCGATAAACGACAAAAAGTCAACGATCATTAAGTTACAAAAATATTCTAATTAGAGTTGAAGCCTGAATTAAACTCGAGCTGATAATCTAACGAGCAATCCTTTAGAAATTTAAATGTACGGAATAAATTGGACTTGAGACTTCGAGAATGCAGCTGTTCTTGAGGTGCATAATTATATACAAAGTAGAAGACATATTGTAGGAATTATCATATCCACTTAGAAGACAAAGTCAGCACAAGTATTGTATTTATGTCAGTGCGAATAAAAATTAATTCAGGGAGAAATCGTGTCTCAAGTCATATTGTCATTCTATAAGTATCGGTTCTGTCAAAAGATTTAATTTTATCAATTTTTATCACCCCAATTATTCTAACATTTATCTTATCATTAATTTATATAATCTAATATTTAATTAATCCAATGCCAATGTGTAATAAAAAAATAATAGAGCAACATTAGAGATTTTTCGTTAATTTTTATTTTTAATAAATCTTACTTTAATTGTTAAATTGTCGCAAAATACTGTCTTTGACGTTGAAGTCAATCGTCAATAGCGTTTAATTAATATTATGCTATGAATAAAAATTTTCAGCATTTCTGAAACTTTCCACATATCGCGATTTCTTGACTACAACGGTAACTTTAATGCAGTTGTTTAGACGAACTTTCCGGCTTATTATACACGGCACAATTATTAATACGTAGTCAGATTATGACATCCTCAATCAATGAGATAAATGGCTTTCTATGCGCACTATATACGGCGACTCTGTCATTCGACGCGTCTTCACTATGCATGACGACCCTCATTCAACTACCTTCCACCTTCACAACGCGATGCGTACCTGACTTTAATGTGTACAATCAAACGCACTCTCATTTTTATTAAACACAGCTGAAGAGAGTGACTTACGCATTTATATTCGCGAAAGTACAACGAATAAACGCTTGACAAAATGCGCAACATCAGAAGGATTGAAGCGAAAGGAACGAGATCTTTCTATTGTATTCTATTGTATACATTCAGTATATGTCTTCAAAAATTCGACAATTAACAAAACTTCACGTTACAAAATTATAATTGCGTAAGTCAACGACTTCTACACTTCTTCAAGATTACTAACTCGCTCACAAAGCGGAAGAATATTGCGTTAATTTAGACATGTAACACGTAAAAAAACTGTTCGCTTTTGCTGGACGTATACCAAATTACACCTACGTTTATATAAGAAGGACATTACGTTACACGCGTAGCACATTTCGAAGCGTTCTATTAATTTACATCGTTCGCCACTGCACTGTGGAAAATAGTTTTTCGCATAATGAAAATGCAAATTTTACTATCTATAAATATTCATTGTCATAAATATTTACATAATATGAGTAAAGTTTCCATCAGCTTTTAAAATCGCCTGTCGCAACTTTTCCGATAGATTTTATTCGCAAAGTTTAATAGTTATCTAGGGAAAAGAAAGCATCGTACAAAGACGCGATATAAATGAAAGCGAAAACTTTCTTGGGATCAAACAAACCAATTTGCGTGTCAAAAATGAAAAAAAAATATAAAGTTGCTCATCGAAAATTCAGACACGTTTGTTGATGCACCGCCTAATAGAAGCCGAACAAAATCGGATGTGAGTTCATGCCTGCACATTGAATTCGCATCAAATCGCAAAGAGTTAATTCGGGATGTGCTAGTTTCGTTCCATGGCTCCACGTGCAACAGAGGCGTCGTTGATCGACGTCGAATAGGTGGTCGGTACGATCGAATAAGACCGGACTGGCCTAGAAGAAGTAAATTGGTCTAAACGTCTGCGCGCTCTGCTCTCCGCTTCCCCTACGTAATAGCGGCGATATCGGTTCAACGGCCATGCGAAATTAACTTTCTCCGCTCCGCGGCTTAGCGCGCGGGCGAGAGAGCCTAGCAGAAACCGCGCATTGAAGTCGTGACAGAGGCGCATTGCTCTATCGACGCGATGCCAGGAGTCGCGAAAGTCTGCACGGTCAGTAGACACATTTCTGTATGTGGAAATTGATCGATCGAATTTACATATCTTCAGAAATCTGAATAACATTTAACGTTGATAATTTTGATAAATATAATAAGAAATAGACTTAAAATAAAAATTCGACTATTAAAAATGTAAAATGTAATCAAATTTATCATAAAATAAAAATTCGAACAGATTTAGAATTGCTTGTCTAAGAAAAAAAGAACTTGGGCAAAAATATGTTATCACTTCCATTAAATTGTTAATTTACTTGATAACGATTGCGTATCTTTTGAGCGAAGAGAATGCAGTTTCGGTTTCAAATGTTGTAAAACCATTCAACGGTTTGAATAAAATTGGATTTTACATCCGCGACTCGCAGTAAAATAGAAAAGCAAGAGTGAATGCCACATATGTGAAATTAAATGCGACTCTTTACAATTTACGGAAGCCGTAAGTGGACTACAATTGTAAGAGCCACGACTCACTCTCCACATTTGTGAAATTTCACGCCGGTTGCGGATGTGTTTCGATTTGTAAGATAGGACTATTTGCGTTTCATATTATATATACATATATGACCGCTGAAAGCAAAGTCCGAGCATTGGGAAACCCAACACGGAATTTATTCTGTTTTGAAACAAAAGCTTGTAGATTCAAACATAGATGGGTATCAAACGTTGTTCAAATAAACGAACGACGTATCAGTCTTGTAAATGAAAACGCAACGATATAAATACAAAGTATATCGATCTGCAATAAAAATTATTTTGCTTCGTATTACGTGAAAATTCTCGGTAAAAAACCTGCTCCGTGCTAATTTCATTATTCTTCTAACAAAAGAATTAGAGTTACGCAAAAGAAGAATATTGCCGCTCGCGCGAAGAGAACGCGGTGGAAAAACACGGACAGACATATATCACGCAGCGGCGAGCAGCAGCTGACAATCAGCTGAGTCGCGATGCTTGAACGGCGTTAAGCGAACCTACTAACAGCTGTCCCGCTTCTCCTGCGGTGGTTACGCGTAACGTAACGCTAAATATACAACAGTGGTGACGGTTACGAAATGTCAGACAGAATCGTCGACGCAGTGGGTCAGTCGTATCGCATTTACACGGTGCGTGAGCGACGGAAAAGACGCGACTGACCTTCTGGTTCCTCATAAACTTTGCGAACGAGAGATAAGCGTTCTCGATTTGTGACCCCAAAACTGTACTTGTTGTTTACGAGAAACGTGATTGTTCGGAAAAAAATCCATTGAAAAGTATCTGAAAATGTCACTTGTTTCATGTGATTGTTACACGCTTTAAAAAAATTATAATAAAAAGTGAAAAATCTACTTCTATTTTACAAATAATATAAGTGCAAATTTAGAGTATAAAATATTATCGAGGTATTTTACAGCTAGTTATTTTTTATCGTTATGATATTTGAAATACTTTTTCAATTTACACATTTTATTTGAATCTGTAAAAAATTTTTCATACTTCAATTTTAGCATTTTCGTGAATCGTAAAGCTGTCTGGCGAATTTTAAACCTATAAACTTATCCTTCGATCTTTTTCGCGCTTTTATAGCTCAGAAATCTCAAGGCTGATATGAAAGCGCCAAGTGCGATAAATTCAAGAGCGCATTTAACGATGAGTCCGGCGATAAGCCTTTGAAATTTAAAAGAGGAATCGAGGTTGAACGTAAAAGGCTTCGGTGGATGCGTATTTTCGGATTTAGATTTTATATCCGGTTTACTGCGCAAAACTCGCTCCCTAAGAGCCCGTCTATTCGTTTAATCGCGTTGTGTATAACAGAAGACACGAGGTACCATTTGTACAATATAAACGTCACAGTAAAATAACTCAATCGGTTATTTGCGAGACGTTCGCAAAAAAGGATCTATTTGCAGAACGAAGAAAGACAACGAGAAAGAGGATGAGAATATTTATCGTCATCCGAGCTCCGGAACGTGATAAATGTTGTCGCCTTCTTTCTTTTTCTTTTTCCTCTTTCATCTCCCAAGACGCTGTTTCGCGGAAGTAAAGTAGGAAACAACAGATTAGGCAAGATTAGAGCTTTCCGTGCGGCGTGTCCTTTCACTTCGACCACAAAACGGGAACTAAAAGCGCGAAACGCATCGGAGCGGGACGCCACTTTTCCGCCTCACGTGTAAAAACCGATGAAGAAACATTGACGAAAGTTTGCTGCTCCTTCGCTGCGCAAATGCCGCCGAGGCGCGGAATATTACTCACTTGCTCAAGGTTGCTGTGCGCTTCGCTCGCGCGACCCGAGAGCATTGTGAATGTACGTGCTGAGAGATATATATCTATACATCCTCTGCACCTTTGTTGCACAGGCGAGCGACTCTAAAGTCGCTATCGCCGCTGCATTTCGATCGACGAAGCATTGACGCGATACTTTTCATGAGTCAATTGATTGTTAAAATTACACTAAATGCGCGATTCGTAGGAGCAGCTTCAAATATGGGCAAGAAATTTTAAAGAAGCTATAGAATTTTGAAAAATATAATATTTCTCTCCACTAATGTTTTCTATTGTTATTTCTCGCGTGTCAGATAAATGCAAAGATAAATTTAAAAAAAAAATACATTTTTCAGATGAAACAAAATGCGAGTTGCAGTTGCAACAAATTATTGCAACAATTAGATTGCGAAATTACTAATTTTTTCGCAAGTTTTACAGCGTGACTGTACTATCAACGATATCGAGACCAGAATCGATAAGAAATGTCCTCAATTCCGTTTTATCACTATATAGATTCAGAGTTCAGCTTCGAAAATATCCTGTAGACATAATCAGACAATGTGCTCTCTCTCTCTTTATCCGTTTCTCAACTGCTAAAAAACACGTTTCGCATCGGCGCATGGCAATTAAATCGATGTGTGTGAGAAAGCGGTAGCGGACGAGAGAGAAGTGATATACAGAGTGTCATAGAGACGTACTGCGCAATTTTCCTTTTCAGTGGCAGACTTCTTGATGAATTTCCATTCTACTTCTTCGAGGTGAAAATTTTTTTGGCGATTAGTTCGATGCGATTAGCGTGATCATTGCAGTTTTTAAATAGCAATTAAAGCGCATGATGAGAATAAATTAATATAATTTGCGCTATAAAGTGAAATAAAGTGAAAAGCAAAAGCCGTCTGTTTTGTAAACGGCTAATTTGCAGACTGTGAATTTAATTCTCCACGATTTATTTCAATATTCTGCCAATCCTTTATTTTCTTTTGCTCGACTGTTTGCGATTAAAGCGCTGCGCAGTAGTTCTGGAACACTTGGTGTGTGTACCGGATGAACCGTTCACCAGAACGCCATACATCGCGGCGGACCTCTCCCTTTTGAACAGATATAGTTGCG